CCGCCGTGCAGGGGAAGAATTAACTCTTTATAATTACTCCTTTTCCATTAACCTCTTCCTTCTTCTCCCAGGTACAACGAGTTCTATTTTCTGACTCACCCGGCTCTGTTCATTAACAATCACTTCCCGGATAACAGTAACTGGCAGCTTCTCAAACCCACCCTGACGCTGAAAGATTTTGAGAACAACATGCTGCACAACAGCAACTTTTACACGCTGGGCCTGCTGAGCGCACACCCGGAGACAGCCGTCATCCAGACAGGTAACGGAGGGGAAGCGGCCGGGCATCGCCCCCCACGCCGCCCCGCATCCACCGCGCCCCGTCGTGCGTGCAGCGCGTTGCACCACCAGCTCGGCTCTGGCAAGCAGAGAGCACTCACAGCTCTTGGGGCAGAGGACGTCTTCTGCTTTTCCCTTTTTTCCCCTTTTTTGTTCAGGCTGTGAAAAGCTGTAGTAGCCCCCGGGTCTAAAAGAAAGCCTCCGACAGCAGCTGAAGATGAGTTACTCTGTCAGCCAGCATCAGTGGTGCAAAATTGGGAGTCATGCTATTGAATATTAGCAACTCTGGCCTGAAAGTGAGATTGAAAGCTGTTCCAAAAGTTTGAATTACTGAACAGTGCATAAACAGGCCCTGCTTTATGCAACACCGAGCACGCTGAGTAAGCCCAGGGTAATCGTTTTAACATAAAAGCATCCAGGTGGCACCACTGAACTACAGGGCCCACATTTAAGATTCCCTTCCACTGACTGTGAAAGAGCTGCAGGAATGTAACCGGAGAGCTGATCTATGAATGCTAAGAACGCAGAGTTAAACCTTAAAGGCAACAAAATAGTAGGACTTCATGTTGCCTTCACGCTGTCCGGGAAGAGGCTCCTAGGGAGGTAGATTATCTCCTACCTCCGTACCGGAGGGTTCCTGCCCTTTCCTCTGAAGCTTCTCGGAACAGCTGCTGGACTAGCAGTCAGCTCTAGTCACATCTAACTAAGCCCTTTTCGACCACGTGGGCTGACGGTACTTTCAGTTATATTTCACACAGGCTTTCACGTTCTATAGGACCACAGCTCCAGTTCAGTGCCTGTCAAAACAGGATAAATGCACATCTCCAGAGAAAAGCCACTCTTCTGGGGGACGCTGGCCCAAGTGGACAGCCAACAAGCTACACCCAGTCAGTTGCAGCCCTTTGATTTACTGTCAGAGAAGCAGAAATTTATCGGGACAGATCAGTCTTCCCAGAACGGGGTGTGCATGCAAAAAGCGTACGGAAACCCCTGTGCAGTTTGTTTTCTTTTGTATTCACAGTAAATGGAAAAGCCTCCGTATCGGTGGATTCCCGTTCTGCCACATTATTTACGTTCAAGCTGAAGGGAACAGATGAACACGGTTTAATGACTTTGAAAAAACACGGAATGAAGCTGGATATCTACCCACAGAAGACAGGGAGTCACAAGCTGCAGATCTTTGCCAAGCCCTCCAAGGCCTCAGAAGATGTCTACAACTGCGTGCTAGAGTACGTCGTAGAGTGCAAGTCCGTGGACAAGGCCATGCGATTCCCGAAGGACCTGCATCAGCCCGTTGGACCCAGCTGGTTCACGGAGCGGCAAGGCTTCCTGAGGCCGTCCCACCCCGAGCCCATCATCCACACCAACGACGGGCGGTGCGCCCTCACCTTCACCCTGGGCAAAGACATAAGCGTCTTTGCCTCGCTGCACTCCGACAACAGCAGCCTGACCGAGGAGATGAGAAGGCGGCACATCATGCAAATCCACCGTGGGAACCAAATCGAGCTGAAGATCCACCTCCCCCACGCAGGGAACTTTGTTCTGAAAATCTACGCCAAGAAGAAGTCGGATCCGGGCAACTACGACTACATCTTCAACTACCTCGTCACTTGCCTCAACACCGAGGTGAAGTGGCCAGCTTTCCCGCAGAGTTACAGCAAGTGGGTGGAAGACTACGAAATACTGGAGCCGCTCTCCGGCTTGCTGCCGGCGAATCGCAACGTTCAGTTCAAACTCAAAATGCACGGGATAGCCAAGGTGCTCGTTCAGGCTGAGGACACTTACCCTCTCACCCAGAGCAGAGGCTGTTGGGAGGGAACCTGCAACACCTCGGGCTGCAGAGAGGTGTTTGTGATGGTGCACGAGAACGCCAACCACAGCTTTTACTCGCACGTCCTGAAATACGAAGTCGAAACCCAGTAACAGCCCCTCCTTGATCTTTCACTCACCTGCACGAACCAGCCTTTCCAACGTGCCCAAAACCGACACAGCTGTAGGACATCGCTCATTCTCTCGATCAAATCTGTTCTTTAAACGCACGCAGGAGAACACTTGCAGCCTTTTGCAAGACCACGGGCTCAAAGCAGTTCAAAAAAGCAGAAAATCCTGTTAAGAAGGGAGCAGCAGTGGGAGAAATTAAATGAAACCTTCACCTCTGCTTCAGCAATGCTGTCCAGACAAACATTTTGAAGACAACCACCAACTGTCTGGCTGTAGGTCATTCTGCACCAGCAGCGACTGCTGGTCTCCGAGTTACGGACCATAAGAAAAGTCTTACAATGGCTACTCCGAGCAGGATCCATCTAGCTATGGGGCAGGATGAAAAAAGTGCACCCTGGTTTTGAGCAGCAATATTGGACACGAGGAACTTTACTCAAGGATATTTAAACCGAGTTTCTGTGTATCTTCAGTCAAGTTGCAAAATAATCCCTGGAGAGAGGTGTTAGGAAGAAGACACAACGTCTTCTTGTGCACTTCATTGTCTTACAAGTCTAAGTGATACTGCGAAATGACTTTTTACACTGACTCTAACAATATACAATAAACACAATCATTTTTACCTTTTTATATTAGAGTGTTTGAATTGTAAACTCTTTTTCTGCAATATTAGCACTGTATCTCAAGCACAGAGCTGTTTCCGTAACCAAAACTACAGTGAAACGGAGAATAAAGTTCTCAAAAAAACACTCCTTACTCCAAGTTGTCTCTGCAGCACTGCACCTAAAGAACTCACGGGTTATGTGGAATCGTGGGCCGAGTGACATTATCGTCATGTAAAAGCTATTCGGGGCTGTGCTCTTGGAAAACCCCCACAGGCCCAAGGCAGGGGTGGTGTTCTAGCGAGTCTCGCCACAGACACACCTCATAATATCAAGCAACATTTGCATAAAAGATCAGACGTCCGTCAGCGTTAGCGTGACCCGAGAGATACTATGTTTGAGCTTGAATTTAAAATAAATCTGTTATGGTTTTGCACTCTGTCTCACTGACCAAGTGATGTGAACCCCTCACACAGCTGCTGTATTTCCACACGGAGCAGGTGGGTTGTTCCCACGCTACCCTCCTCCTCAGCGACCCAGCTCCAGCCCCAGGTTCAGGTCGCGCACGGGGTGCCTGGAGCCGCCTTGGAGCGGGGGAGCTCCCGGCGAGGACGCGGGCTGCTGCAGGTGCGTGCAAATGCGGCGCGTAAGCCAGCAACGCTTTGGGTCTTTCTGCTTGGAGACAAGGAGGCTCCGTACGCAACATAGAAGTGGGTTTTAAGCCCTCCCTCAGCAGTCTTTGCCCGCAGAATGGGCGCAGCGGCAGCTCGTCCCCGCAGGAACGCTGACCAGCCTTGCAGCCCAGCAGGCACCCGTCCCCTGGACAGCCACGCATCCCGAACCGCGCAGACGCGGGAAAGGCCCGGGCGTCGATGGCTTTGCGGGCTGGCGCGAGCCTTGGCCGTCGGCACAGGCAGCCCTGGCTCATTTTGGTGCTCAGCAGAATCCTGTTCTCTTAGATCCCATTATTCAGATCAAGGAGGACACGTTTCAGCAGCTTTCGTTTTACAGGTCAAGCTGATCCAGTCAGATACGTCACAGTGGGAGGATGAGGCGTCCCAGAGAGCTTAGGAACAGAAGAAAACTACTGTTTTCCCCCAAACAGGGTCAAGGATACCAGGCTACATACAGCTTTGTTACAAGCAAATTACCCCACATGCTCTATTTCCATCTGAAGGTGACGGGGAGGCGGGGGGAGTCATCCCAAGGGCAAAGAGGGGACAGTTCATTGCCCCTTACCCAGCAAGATCTTGGGAGCATTCCCTCCCTCCCCTGCACAGCGCTGCACAGCCCGGACACCTGCCACCCCGCAGAGGTAACAGGCACAAACACGCGTGTAACCCCTCAAAGGGCGACCTGCCCGCCAAGGAACACCCGCAGCACACTAGAGACAGGCAGAGCCTGCGGCAGG